GGAAGAATGAGCAAATCCAAAGTGAAAACGATGCTCATTGTCTTTTTTGACATCAAAGGCATCGGATGCGTCGACTGTCTGTTCTTCAATAACCGAAATTATCCACGTCGGAATGGAGGAATACATCCCCCACACAGTGAAAGTTCCTAAACCAGGGTCCAACGGCTGGTTCAACAAATCGTGTGACACTGCTCGCCAGCAGAAGATCAAGGCCCACAGAACCTACTTACAAAACCCCACTGTAGAGAACAGACAAGCCAACGTCGAGTCCAGAAACAAATATAACGAAGCGGTTCGCAATGCCAAAAACCAGCATGATATAAAAGTTAGGCACAGGGTAATGTCGCAGCGCAATAGCAGTCGGTCTTTCTGGACGCTGGCCAAGCAGATCGAAAAGAACTTCTCACACAGTAGCCTTCCACCACTTACGTGTCAGGATGGAACTATTGTATTCGACTCAAAGGCCAAGGCGGAAGTGCTAGCCAAGATCTTTGCTGCCAACTCCACCATGGACGTCCCCACCAACGCCCAAGTGCCGTCAATTCAAAGGGTTCCCCACACTATGCGGGAGGTAACATTCAGGTATAAGACCGTAAGATGAGTGCTTTTGTCGCTCGACATCAACAAAGCTTCTGGTCCGGACTTGATTCCTGCCATTGTACTGAAGAGATGTGCAGCGGAGCTTGCTCCAGTTCTTTCGCGTCTCTTCCAGATATCTTATGAATCCGGCACCTTCCCAGAAAACTGGAAATTTGCTCATGTACAGCCCATCCCAAAAAAAGGATCTAAAACCGACCCTTACAACTACAGGCCTATAGCTCTGCTTTCTGTTATAAGTAAAGTGATGGAGAGGTGCATAAATCGCGAGCTTCTGGACTACCTCGAACGTCACAGCTTGTTTAGCGACAGGCAGTACGGTTTCCGGCACCAACGATCCACAGGGGACCTCCTAGCTTACGTCACGCAACTGTGGAGTAAACTCATCCAGTCTCATGGTGAGGCTCATGTCGTTGCTCTTGACATCACGAAAGCGTTCGATCAGCTGTGGCACGCTGCCCTCTTAAGCAAACTTCCATCCTACGGCCTCCCAGAAAAGCTTTGCAGATGGGTAGCTGACTTTATCTCTGGCCGCAAGACATCCGTCGTAATTGACGGATTCTCCTCTTCATCCCACAACGTCAACGCGGGTGTTCCCCAGGGATCGGTCTTGGCTCCAACACTGTTTCTCTTACATATCAACGACCTCCTTTCCTGCACGATCAATCCAATCCACAGCTTCGCTGATGACAGCACTCTACATGCAGGAATTCAGAGTGACAAGCCGATCTCTGCCGCTGAGCTGGAAAAAAGAAGACTAGCGACGACTTCCTCTCTGACAAGAGATCTGGAGGCTATCACTGCTTGGGGACGCAACAATCTTATACAGTTCAATGCTTCCAAAACACAGTACTGTACTTTGACGAACAAAAAGCGTCCTAGCGCTCATACAGTTTCGATGGACGGTCGAGTTCTACCAAAGAACCATTCATTTCGGCTGGTCGGAGTCCAGATCACCGAGGACCTGATCTGGCACGAACACATCTCTTCAATAGCTGCAGCTGCTGGGAAAAAGCTGGGCTTTTTGTTTAGGGCTAAGAAGTACTTTTCTCCGCATGACCTTCTCACTCTGTAGAAGGCCCAGATAAGGCCTGGCCTCGAGTATTGCTCACACATTTGGGGTGCTGCCGCCCCGACTACATTGTCCATGCTCGATGCTGTCCAGAGGAGGGCGGTCCGACTGATCGATGACTCTTCTCTAACAGACAGTCTCGGGACTCTTTCGCACCGGCGGGCCGTCGGCGATCTAGCTCTTTTCTATCGCTACACCAACGGGCTTTGCTCCTCAGAGCTCTCTTCTATGATGCCGCCGCGCGATGTGCCTGCCAGACAGACCCGCCTGACTTCGGCGTCCCATCCTAACCGTGTCAAACTTCGTACATCCAGAACTCGCCGATACGACCGCTCCTTTGTCCCGAAGGTGTCTAGATTGTGGAACAATCTACGGGAGGAAGCTTTTCCCAGTTCTACTAACCTTAGGCAGTTCAAAAATCGTATTAACAAAATTTCTTTGGGATCATCATAGCAGCCGCGGTGTTCCGGCATTTAGGCTTCTGCCTGCGCGGCTGTTTCGATATAAAAAAAAAAAAAATCGTCCACCATGAATTTGTTCCTCCTGGACAAACCGTCAACGCCAAGTTTTACGTGGAAGTGCTCAGGAGACTCAAACGAAGGGTCAGTCGGGTCCGACAAGACATCGCAGCCGACTGGAAGTGGCACCACGACAACGCCCCGGCTCACACCGCCTTTCTTGTCAATAGCTACCTGACCAAGGCCGGCATCCCAACGCTTCCGCAGCCGCCCTACAGCCCAGATGTGGCCCCCCCGGACTTTTTTTTTGTTCGACCTGAAAAGGCCGAAAGGCAAGCATTTTGAGACAGAGGGAATCCAAGCAGCATGCACCGCGGCTCTCAAGGCTATTCCGGAGAATGCCTTCTGTGACGCCTTCAATGCTTGGAAATCGCGCTGGCAGCGCGGCATCGACGCAGAAGGAGCCTATTTTGAAGGTTTTTAAAGAATTGTAACGATTGGCTCAATAATTTTTTTTAAATCGACTCAGTCCTATTACTTTCCGGACAAACCCTGTAAAGACAACGCGACGTCTGTTTTCGCTCGTTCGATTAGGGCGCGCAAACCGTCGCGTAAAATACGCCGCGGAAAATCGCCCGTATAGTTTGGCCCTTATGACACAAATACTATGTTGGCAGACAAACACGATGAATGGCCCATTTTGAAGCATTTTTCACATCATTACACTAATCGAAGCATAACGTAAACGTTTGGTGTAGCAAACCCGTTCTGTTAGGCTGACCATAAATGAACAAAAAGTAATAAAGTTTCCCGAAGTTAGAATGACCACATGACTAACAAACAAACTTGATTGTAAAAAAGGACTAAGCAGCCCCAGCGAAACAATGGCATAGTCATACTTGCTACATATTAAAAAGGGATTCAAATTTAAAGCATGAGTCCAATGAATGACACGTAAACATATAATTTTGCTTCAATACTATGAAGCAAATGCTTCGAAGCATCTGTTTTACAATCATATAGAGGTTGTTTTCAAATTCAGCATGTAGTGATTACAAAATCACCTATACAGGGTGTTTGCTTAATGGTATACGAATATTTAAGGAAAAAATGGCAATTAATTAATATTTTCAGAACCGCTTCAGATATTTCACTGATATTTAGTACGTACTGAAAGTTAATGAAGCGGCATATTTTTTAATGCAAGAATAATTTTTAGCTTCAACAGTGGCGTGCGTACGGGGATTGACATCGATATTTTTCAAGAAAAAAATGGTACGCCAATGGTTTTTTGTCAAATAAAAATTATTTTTGAATTCCCCGTTCAATTTGGAATAAATGATCTCTCTTGAATTGTTTTCCTTCGATGCGCCAGTTTTGAGTAAAAAAATAAAAACCGTTCTATTGTCCCAGAAAATTAATGTAATAATTGAAGAATGCAATTTAGCAATAAATATCTAGTTGCTCTGGAATATGTCACTGGTTTTTGACATCTGACAAGTCTCTGTTATTCAAACGTGTTCGCTGTGACATCTTTTTCATTATTTAGTTTTTAAAATCTTGTTAATAATGGTGAATTATTAAAATGCAGAAATGAAGGAAATGCATTACGTATACGGCCTTGCGGACGGTAATGGTGAGGGATCGTTTGTTTTAAATTGAACGGGGCATTCAAAAACAATTTCTATTTGGCGTACCATCTTTTTCTTAAAAAATATATTGAATATATTGAAGGCAAACATTATTTTTGCATTGAACAAACTAAAATTAGGTTTTCATGTAGATGAGTCCTAGCAGCGGTTAAAATACGTGACTCAACACCCTGTATTTCGAAGAGTTTGCTTCATAACTTTTGAGCAAAAGAAAGTTGTGCGACTCTTCAGGAAAATTATTCCAAGCAATCTGCAACTTGAATGTTCTTTTTTTAGCAAACTAAATACGGCACATGGTCAAATTGGGCGAAATGCATGAATTATCTATTATGTTTTCACATTCCTAATAATTTTAGCAAACAAATACTATTGTAGTCAATGGAAGATAGCAAACAAACAACTAGTAATAAATGAATGAATTCAAAATAACAATTAAAAAAATGGCATCATAAGCGGAAGCGATTGCCGACTGTGACGCACGACCACCGACCACGACGCTTGTCCATCGGGGGACCACGTCGCACATATCGACACGCGTCTGTCATATGCCTAATATGTGCGTAGAATTACTGGGGTTGGAGGTTGCCAACGTCAAAATATTGTAATGAAAGTACAAAAATGTGTTTAGCATGAAAACGCCGCAAGCAGCAGTGAAGATATAGTTGAGGAAGGTGAAGACATAATTTTGACTCAGATATTTCACCCAAATGTGTTTAGTACTTTGTTGAATATATTAGTGTTTAAGTTTATAGTTTGTCTTTTATCAATTCAATTTTTCTTGACTAAGCCATTTATGATAAAACATAGACAATGAGAGCGCCCAGTTTATGTATGTCGAGTACATTTGATGGTCCGCTATCGTTACAATATTTTAATAGAATCTGTTGTATTTAGCGTGTAAAATCAAATATTGTTTCGTTTACTGTCAGCAGTGAATATTTTGGGACATTTATAAGGTGCGATTGTCTCACATGTGAGATTACTTGCAGGGACTTTACTATGTCACGCTGGCCGAAAATATGCATCTGGTAACCCAGGGATTATAGTTTTCTATCACAATTTACCACAATTAATGGTGCTATTAATAAAACGATTCGTTAGATTTCAGTGATAGTCGATAGAGGAACCGAATTAAAATGTCTCCAGTAGTTGAAACCTTGTAACAAAAGCAGACCAACAACGTCGTGAGATTACATGGACCAAAAAATCGCAATTTCTAACCTTTGAGATCGATATACAACCGCCTGTCATTACAATAGTCCCTATCGTTACAACAGGTCGTGAGAACTGACGAGAATTCAGAATTAGCAACGTCGAACAGGGTTTCGTTGCAATACTGAGCCGTTCTGTTGGCCTGTACTACGATTTCTGGCAGAGACTTTTTGTCGTAACATCTATAACAGAAACATGATGGTAGTTTGGACGGGAAGCTCGATCGGGGTATCCTATTTAGAACTTCTGTCAGATGGAAACGATCAAATAAGGGTCGTTGATTTTCGTCATAACAATCGTTCTGGTGAAACTAAAAGTCCGTTGATCTTTTTTGCTTGCTGTAATACTCTAGTGAAGTGAAACGTCGATACGTGCTCAATGTCGATATTTAAAAAAAAGAAACGTTGTTTGTGTATCTCGTCGAGAATATTTGTGAAATAAAATAAAATACGTCCATTTTTTCATCTTGTTTTTTTATTGCAACTCAGAAATAGTGTATCAAAAATAATATCAGATAAATGCCACACTGTATAGCTTATGATTTTCTTTTAAGCTTTACCGTCTGCTTTAAGATTTTTTAAGAACATCCTGTATATGTATTTGCTTCGATATAGAACTTATTGATTTTCTACGAGACGGTCGCTCTATAATTTAAAGGTCAATGTTATCGAATTTTCATGTTGTTTACATAATGTATTTTCTTTTTGCCACATTTTCAGCATTCACCTCGAATCATTTAAGTCGAATTTCCATTGTTTCTGATGTACATAAAAACGAAACCTATTATATTCTCTATGAATTTAATGATGATATATACAGGGTGGAAAAACGCTCAGACCCGTCTTTTTTGTTTTCGATGGGGGACACAACTTTGGCAAAAAATCACGTTAGCACGTGCAGCCCCCTAAGCGGGGGTCACACCACCCCCAAAATTTTAAATGGAAAGGCGGGTCGAGTGATACCTTATTTTAAGGGTCTTTCACGTCCTAACGTGATTTTCTGCCAAACTTGCGTCCGCCTCGAAAACAAAATCGACGGGTCTGAGCGTTTTTCCAAAAAAAAAAAACTGAGCTGCCGGTAAATGCGTCTGTTTCGTTTTCGATGCGTCACCCTGTATATCTGTTTACGTGTATACGAGGAAGCAGTTTTTGAAAATCCGGTTCCAGCAAACAGATTTGCGCGGAAACATCGGAAGTTTCACAAATGAGCGGATCCAAACTAGCGCAGCGACTTTTTGGATTTTTTTTAAAGTAACATTTTCGAACACTTTTCAGCAGGCAGGGTGTTCGAAAAATAGACGGAGATATTTTAGAGGGTGAGTCCTTGTTAAAAAATATAAAAAAAAGATTGTACAAACATGGGTCCGGAAATGCAGAGTGCTCAAGAAGAGGGTGAAAATTTTGAAAAAAAAATTGCATTTTTTATTAATAGCATAAAAATTGAATTGGTAATATTATTTGTTGCATTAAGAGGTTATTTTATCCCCAGATAGATTGAAATTATTAGGTCCAGTGGCGTCCCAGGGGGGATTAGTGAATATAATTGGCAAAAGACGTACGCCACTGCCTTTTTTTGTGAATTTTACATTTGTTCTTTGATTAAGCAACTTCGTTGCCTGTTGTATTTTTTCGGTACCTTACTTTGTTTTCGAGAAAAAAAAAATGGTTTATTAATTTTTGTACAAAAATTCATTCCTGCATAGGGGTTTGACATTTGCGCGTCAGTTCTTCTAGAAAAGTATTATTCACGTAATTTTATTTGCGAGATTTCTCAAAAAAGGTTTATCTTTTTTATTGAAAACTCTGCATTTCCGGACCCATGTTTATACAAACTATTTTTTAACAAGGAATCACTCTCTAAAATATCTGCGTCTATTTTTCGAACACCCTGTATTTAGATAAATGTCTTTAATCATTGAATGTCCCGCGACTTGGTATTTTCCACTGACACTTAAAAAGATTCAGCCAGACCACGGTTTCATAGTTTCAATTTTTTCCATGAAAACGGAACTAAAATTATACCGACGCAATTACTGACGTCGCACAGATTAAATCGATCACAAACTCCAATATCTTGTCATTTATTACAGTCCCGTCACCGACGCTGCCGTTTTTCGTAGATTATTCCATTTCTAGTTACATTCAATGAATGTTTATTGATTAAGAGCATAGTAAATTAAACGGAAATATTGCAATGACCTTTATACTTATTTCCAACATTCTATTCGCATATTTTCCATAATTCTACTCCAACTATTACAGTTGATCACAGAGGAATGTTCCAGCAACTGATGTCGTACACAGGTATGTTCTTCCCCAATTGGATTCCAGATTGTGTGGAAAAGCTATACGACTTTTGAGATAAGAAGACTAAGGTGTAAAAAGAATAACAGGTTCATAAATTTGCTAAGTTGGACTAGTAGCATGTATGATTTTACAGTCAAGTACCAAATTAGAGGCACTGATCTGAGGGCTGTCGATGAAATAATAATTTCATCGTCAGTGGCAGTTGATAATTCCAAAATGGCTGACAGGCGCCATATTGAGACGGTTTTGGAATGGAACGAGGATCATGTGATACCCCATTTTGGCGGCAAAGTTGAGCGTTTTTATAGATTGAACTGCTTAGATCTCAACAACTAATTTACGTTCAGCTTAAAAAGATTAGCACATTTTGACATTTTTGTTATTTTAATATACAGCAGACGCTCGATAATGTAAACACGGGATAATGAAAACTTGCGCTAATGTAAACACAAACTTCGTTCTATAGGATCGAACGGAACGCGCGATAACGTAAACCATGTGTACGCGCGATAACGTAAACAACTCTCGGCGCACGGAAACAGCGCGACGGTAAAATGCTGAAGCCTCGATGATTTATGTCGGGCGTCGGGGTAGAATGTAGGGGATTCACCTCTGCGATAAAATACGTAAACTCGGTCAGTCGTATGGTCGTTTAGGATACGTTTATACGTTCGTATGTATTTCATTTTTGAACGTAAGTGAATACATTGCACGCGTTAATATATTTTACGACTATGGCATCCACATCCTATAAAAGAAAGTGTTTAAAGTTGAGTGAGAAAGTGAAAATCATAGACGAAGTTGCACTAGGTGCGGGAGTGACACAGTTAGCAAAAAAATATGGAGTATCGAAAGCAACAATCTGTAAAATTAAGCGTATGAAAGCTCAAATTTAACAAAGAACGTGCGATACATTTGGAGGTCCGGGAAAAAGAAAAACTTTAAAAAATGCGAAGGCACCTAAAATAGAAAATTCCCTGTATAAGGGGTTTTTAAAACAACGGGAAAATCATGTCTCAGTTAGTGGCGAAGTACTTAAACAGAGAGCGAGGCTGTTAAATGAAAAACTGAGAGAAACTGAAAATTTCGTAGCTAGTGATGGCTGCCTACAACGATTCAAAACAAGATATGGAATTCGACTGCTGTCTATATCTGGTGAAAAATTATCAGCACAACCACAATCAGTGCAACCATTCAAAGAAAAATTGATGAAAACAATTACCGAGCTAGATTTAAGAATGGAACAAATTTACAACGCAGATGAAAGTGGCCTTTATTGGAAAATGTTACCAGAGAAAACCTATGCTGCATCATTTGAACAATCTGCCCCGGGAAGAAAGCCGGAGAAACAACGAATAACGTTTCTAGCCTGCACTAATGCTAATGGTTCACACAAAATAAAGTCACTGGTAATTTGGAAAGCAAAAAATCCGCGCTCATTTAAAAATGTTAATATCCCTGTTGATCATGACTGTTCAAAAACCGCTTGGATGACTAGCAGTATACTCCTGAAATGGTTCCACAGGTGCTTTGTCCCTCAGGTATGACAATCAATTATCACAAATGATCTATTCATAATTTGAAGATGTGTTTTCAATTTGTAGGTAAAAGGTTTCCTAAAACAACAGAAGCTTCCAATAAAAGCGTTACTATTGGATAATGCACCAAGTCATCCTCCCAAGCAACAACTGAGGAGCAGGGATGGGTAAATTTTCGTAAATGCCGCCCAACGTAACACCGTTAATTCAACCGATGGACCAGAATATAATAAGACTCACCAAACTATACTATAGGAAGTTTCTTTATCAAAGAATCCTGAAAACTTATCTGAGGCTTTAAAAAAAGTAACATTACGAGAAGCTGTTTTAGATTTACATATGGCCTGGAATGAACTTAACCAGCGAACTATTCAAAAATGTTGGAACAATCTCTTTTGTACCAATAATGAAGATGATGAAGAAGACGATGTCCCCTTAAGCGTAATTAGAGAACGTTTGCGATCCAATAAAGATAATGTTATTAGTGTGTCATTGGATGTTGTTGATTTATTGAAAACAGTGAATCCCAACATTGTTTGTACTCCTGCTGATATTAATTTATGGAACGAAGATAAGCAGACGAATGATGCTGATAAGGAGGAGGATATGGACAGTGAGGATGATGAGAAAGATCCCATTGAAGTCAGAAGTGTAGTGACTGACGCGCAAGCTATACAAGTTTTTAACCAAGCTTTAGATTGGGGTGAAAGAAAAGAAGTTTCATACACGGATATTTTAGTTCTTCGTAAATTACGGGCGCAGGCATTGGAAGACAATGCTAAGCGCAAATTTACGCAGACAAAAATTGTTAATTATTTTTCTTCTAATTAAAAAAATACTTATCGCTGTTAGAATATTTGTTTATTTTGTTATAAATAGTATGTATTAAACGTTTCTTTTAGTAAATCAAATATTATATAAATCACGTTCGCTAATGTAAACATTTCGATAATGTGAACCACACTTGGATTAAATCAGTTTACATTATCGAGCGTCTGCTGTATATTCAAACACGGAAGGAAATTGAAACAAAAAAAATTCCTGATCTTTAAAGTCGAGGATAATGTGAACTTTTTTGTTTGGCAATTTTTGCTGAATCTCAAAAACAGAGGTTGGTGGGGCTATTCAAAGGTTTCTGTAAAAAAACACCCTGTATCTTCGAAAAGAGCTATTCTTGGACTACAAACATTATAATAATCGAAGTTTTGTTACTTTCACATGTGGCCGCTAGATGGCTCTTTCGATATTCCGACAGAAATGATTAATTTTCTTAAATAAATTAAATGCATTTATATGAAAGACCTAAATCGTGTCTACAAAGGCTGGCAAAAACCGCAT